GCCTAGCACTGGAAAAACCCATAATAAAGTCCTGGTGCCCCAATCCATGGCTGGCTGGTTTCACCTCCACCTTCCTTCTCTCTACAAAAGTACCAGGTAAAGTATGAGGCAAGGGAAGATTCGAGATAGACACTTTGTCTGAGCTCCACCTATCTACATATCTGCCTTCGCTTCCTCTTCTATACAAATATCCTCATCTCAGAAGGCTGCTGTGAGGGACAGGCAAGGTGACATATGCCAACCCTGTATCTGTCCAGTGGGAAAGTTTGTCACAAAAATTTTCAGGTACAGGAAAAAGTGTAGAATTAAAAGGAGTTCCCAGAAAAGAGTGTTTTTCATCAACATAGTAGTGGGGTAATCAGCCCTCAACGCAAAGAACACTTTCCTGAGCAAGGAATACTGCAGGCTCTGAGCAATGAATACTGAAGGCTGAGATTAGTAACTACCCTTAGAACAAGACATGGCTAGCAACCAAGCTGGCTGGTTGTTACCTGAATGCCAAACCCACAAGAGGCCACCAGAGCTGAGGCTGGGCTATCATCTCCTTCATTTCCTGTCTTGAATTGACCTTTCACCCAAGACACACAGAATAATGCTGACTGGACATTGTTAGGGACTAAGTACAAAGCAGACAACTGCACAAGACAGGCAGCTCAGTCTCCATGGTTTCATTAGGCCTTGATAAACAGGAGGTAGGGGCCCTGCTGACACCTCAGGGTCTAAGAAGTGGAAGGTATGGAGGCTGAACTCACGAGAGGAAACAAGACGGTATAGGTGGAGGCCATTTGTTGGGAATCAGGAGAGTTAACCTGCCTCTTGCTTCTGCCACTAGTTTTTATTATGGGTTCGTTTCAACCATATCTCTGCATAGCAGTTTATATTGTAAAGGTGACTGGACTGCAGTTTCTTTACTCACAACTGTGAAGTCTAGATTAGACAACCCATAAACTTTTTCTAGCATTTATGTCTAAGTGACAACTCCGCCTTCCTTAGCCTTCCCTTTCCCTTCTGAGTTAGCTGTCTGTTACTGTGTACATTTCCACCAACGCTGCCTCCTTTGCTTCCCAGGATGGTTGGCAACCCCTCACCACAGTCTAGCCACCATTATCTTCAGAATGTATTTACTACCCTCTGGTTTATAACTCAATAGAGTCCAGGAACCTTGGAGTATCAAGATCTGAGACATCTCAGCCCTCACTTCAGTCCTACTCTCCTCTTATACCAATCAATCTCTCCTTAGGGCTCCAAAGTTCCTCCAAAGTTAGGTTTTCCTAACTACTTGGCAGGAAACCAGCATCAGGCTATGCTTATCTATGCTCTGGCTTATCCCTGGGTGGGGCAGAGAGAGGTGGTAGAGCTAAACAGGTCAGGAGAAAAGTGCTGACAGAAGCAAGCTCTGGTCACATGAGATGAAGGGAGCGAGCAGTGCCAATCACTAGAACAAACTGAGAGTAGATCCTGAGAACAAGTAAAATATAGGAGGCTCCTTTAAGATGCTACCTGGTTCTCCACGCCTTCCTTATTTCCTTATAAAGCAATTCTGACAGGAGTAGCTCTGTGACTTGCCAAAGACCACACAGGCTAGCCTTTGAACAGGCAACCCTAACACATGGGTCTTCGGGACTCCTCTTGCTGCTTTTTCCATTCATCTCTGTTGACCTCAGGAGTCTGAGGCCAGCAGATCCACTGTAGACTCTAAGAAACATGACCTTGGTGTCACTTAGGGAAAGAGTAGACTTGGAAGATGTTATGGTTATTGTCCCTCCCATCACATGGACCTCATTTCATGTGGTTTTATTTGCTCTTTCTCCAGCCCTTGCCACAAAATCTTGGAAAATCTAAAGATTGGTAAGGATCATTTCCCTTCAGGACTCTAAATAGATAACCATAGTGATTCTTACTGGTCTAGAAAAGGTTAGTCAGGGAAGGGCTCAAAACCACCAAATTATGCCTGGTACCAGTGGCTCACATCTGTAATCCTAGCTACTCAAGGCTGAGATGTGAGGATCTCTGTTCAAAGCCAGCCTGGGCAGGGAAGTCCATGAGACTCTCATTTCCAATAAACTACTCAAAAAAGCCAGAAGTGGTGCTGTGGTTCAAGGGTAGAGCACTTACCTTGAGCAAAAGAAGCTCAGGCCCAGAGTTCAAGCCCCAGTACCAGCAAAACAAAACAAAACAAAACAAAAAAGCACCAAATTAGGGCCAGAGGCATAGTTCAAACAGGTAGATTGCCTGTCTAGCAATCTAGAAGCCTTGAATTTGAACCCCAGTACTAGAAAATATGTATATCAAGTTAACCTACTGGAAACCTAGCCTCTTTAGGCTAAGAAATTCATGGGAAATTCAAGGCATCATCTGAAAGTTTTTGATAATAAATAGTAGGGTCTGCTTCTGTCGGGACCTTTCAAAGATTAGTGTCTGGCAGATCATCTCAGCCTCAGAAGGAAGTAGGTCTGAGAGGAAGCTTCAAGGAATTAATTATTTATGGTATATGACCCAGTTCCTGGGGTAAGACAGGCTGAGAAAAGAGTGGGCCAGGTTTTTTTGTGTTTTGTTGTTGTTGTTGTTTTTATCACGGCAAGAAACTCAAACACTTTACAGGGTAGTAACCTTTGTTGCCAATGAGGATCCATTTATGAATTAAGTGGCAAAAAATCTAAAAACTAGCCAAAGTTCACTCATTCAATGAGTATCACGCTTCTCTTATGTCCCAGGCCTTTCAGGAATTTACATAAATAAGGTCAGAGTTTAGTAGAGGGAAGATGATACCACTGATAAGTAGGAGGCCTGAGCAATATCCCAGCCCAGCCCTTAGACAGCTACATTACCCTGGGCAGGTTACAGCCTGTCTAAGGCAAATTCTTCATCTGGAAAATGGGGCTGGACTCACTTGATTGTGAAGATTAAATCATCTTTAGAAAATGCAAGATACAATGTGAACATGAGGTATAAACAATAATGATAGAACCTGACACATTTTCCCTGCCCTAGAGAAGTATATAATCTGGTATGTTCTGGGAAACCATCTAAGGTACCTATTTGGCAAACATCACATTCTCTGTAATTTGGGCAAATTGTATGTTTAAACTTGCCAATGGAGATGGGGCTGACAGTCCCTGTTTCCAGTCTGGGTGCCCAAGAAGTTGCAAGAAGGGGTGGTATTCACATTAGAGCTTACCTGGCCCTGGGTCAAGCCTCAACTGAATGAATGAGCCAGAAGAGGACCAAGATCCATTTGACATGTGGTAAATCAGCAACAGAACAAAACAAAATACAATTCATCTGCTCATAGTAGGAGTGGGCCAGTCAGAACTACATATGTGTCCCTCCCCACATACATTTCAGACAACACTGAATTCACTGGTCACTGTTAACCCTTCTCTGTGGACATATTCTGCATGCTATTTCTGCAGGAAAAGTGGCAATTCTCAGACTTAGTAGACTAATCAAGCTGAGCTGTGCTTGAGTCTGCCAGACACTAAGAATCAAATTCGGAGCAGTTTTTCCCTAGGCCTTTTCCCTTTTTATTCTATCCCCACTTGGGATCTGAACCCACCAGGCTATTGATATCCAGATATGCTTCCAACTGCCATCTAGCCTGGTCCCCCAATCCCTGGGCCTCTTGAAATAAACACTTATCCACCCTCCTGCAATGAAACAGAGCTCCTGCAAGGCTAGCCCAGTTCATAGACCAAGGTGCTCCTGGGGAGAACATACAGGTTACATTTCTTTATCCCTCCAACTGAGGGGTAAGCTCTTTGCCTTCCAGAAAATGCAGGCTAGGAGCTCAAAACGTTTTTAGATTGCTGTATATAGAAGGGAAGCAGAGGAAGGAGAAGAGGAAGTCCAAGGCTGGTGATTCCAGTTAGTTCTACAACCTTGAGAAAGTCTCTTTAGGCCTGGTCTCAGTTTCCCTGTTTGGTAATGAGGGGCTTGCTCTAAATAACCTCTTTAATTACAAAGTCTGACATTACAGAAACCAGACTAGCCTGAGACACAGATGATCTGAGTCCTACTCAGATAACAGCCTCCAATAACAGCCTGTGGGCAAGTTATCTGACTGCTCAGAGCCCAGTCCACATGTCCATAAACCAAAGAGAGATTATACAACTGCCTATCCCAGGGTGTGAGGCTCCCATGAGGCACTGCTGTGATGAAGCTTCAAGGGTAATAAAGCCGTGACTTCTTGAGTAAACAAACAGCTATTGACCATTTGCAACATGACAGAAACAATTGAGGGCTAGAGTGAGCTGCCAACTCAGGCAGGAAGGTCAGGGTGAAATGGTGCATGAAGATATCTTACTTCTGCTAGTGGTATATGTGAGAGCACAAAGCATTATGGGAGCATGGCAATGGGAGCCTCTTGGCAGGAGCAGTATGTTCTGCAGATGGCAAACTGTTCCCAGCTAGGAGGAGGGGAACTAGGGTAGACAGGTGGGAAAAGAGTTAGAGGTCTGACTGGAGAGGCTGAAGGCCAGGAAGCAGAACTTAAGGAGGGTCTCTAGCAGCATTTCAGAGGACACAGCAAACAGGACAGTGAGAGGAACTGGGAGAACAGCAGGTAGGCCTTTCCACAGTCCACAAAGGAGACCATAAATAAGTCATCAATTTCTGTCTGCACCAGCCTTCTAGACACTAAGCCTCCAAGGGCTTAGGAGTCACAAAAAGGTTGTAAACAGGCTTCATCTTCTGACAATGGCTTGATTACATCGTCATGTGTGAAGCCACACCCTACAGAAGCCACCTGGCCAGGTCCCTATTTGCACAGACCTGGATAGTCAAGAGGTTGAAATATTCTCAGAGCCAGATGGGGATTTAAAGAGCTGAGTTGGCCTCACTTGAAGGATGAAGAACAGAGATCCTGTCCTGCCACTTACCAACAGGGCCTTTGCCCCCTACCCCCGACCAAGTAAATGTCAATCTCAATCCTACCTCCTCTGACATGGGGTACTCATGATGAGCTACTCCTAGGTATGAAAGAGACCTACCATGTGACTTACTCGCTTGATTCTCAGGCATCACACAGGCTAAAATCTTCTCCCTCCAGGACACAGTCCGCATAGGTTGCCATGTTCCTATTAAAACAGAAGCCCAACAGTTAATGTCAGTTCTGTTATCCGTCATTACAACCCCTTATTTTCTCTTCTCCAAGAGGTTGCAGAGGGCTCTGATCATGGCTAAGTTTCCAAAATGAATTGTTTTGTGCCGCTTTATCTCATAGACTGTACCCAGCAAGAGGAAATGGACAGGAAATCCCTCTGGGTGTCCCAGGTTTTGCAAAGTAAAGAATCACTGCAAAACCAATTCTATTGTCTGCTGCCAACTGAGCTCTACACTAAGACTTTGCTCTAGGAAAAATAACAATAAGTACCAGGATTTCTAAGATTGAGACAGAATGAAAGTAAGTCAAACTGGTATAAAATATGTTAATGAGTCACCAATGTATAATCTGTCACAGTGCCTGAGGTGGAAAAGTCCAAAATGCTAAATAAAGTAAGAAGTTATAGGATTGGCCATCTGGTCTTAGCTGTTTGCTAAACAAATTATTTTGGCTTTCAGTGGCCACCCACATTTTTTGTTTATACCCTATTGCTGCTGCAGAAAATGACTTTATACCTGTTTGTTATTTTCATTCTCCAGGGAAGCATCCATATTTTACTCTTGTGTACACAAACACATGTGTTTTCTCTAGCACACAACAACCATGTTTACAGTGTTTGAGGTGGGATTGACTTGCTGTCCAGAATGCTCAGATCATAAATGGGGAAGAACTTGCTATCTACTAAGACTGGCCACATATAGAGTCAACTCCAATAGGACTAGGCATGCTTTACCTCAGTGTCTCCTCATAGACATGAGAAGGAGGCTTGGAGAATAGATGCCACTTATCAAGGCCCCCTGGCATGGTAGGATTTTAGCATAGACCTGGTTGACACAGCTCTCAGGGTCCTTCTGTCCAAGCTGAGGTGTCCTAGACTTGAATGTCTGACACAGCTGGGATGGTCCGCTCACACTGAGAGGCTGGCAAGCTCTCAGAGCAGTCACCTGCTTAGAAGCTTCAATCCTGCCCAGCATCATCCCTATTACCATGCCCACAGCCCTGAGAGCCTGTGCCAGCTGACAAACAGGCTGGCCTGCCTCTGCTACATTTTATCAGCCTGAGTTGTAGACTCTGTGCAGCTGCTTCATGCCACAAATCAGACAGGATGAAATCTTCAAAGTATCTGCCCTGCTTCTCAAGGGAAGTTTCCAGGAGCAGTAGGTAAGAGAGCTGGATTTTCTTTTCTTCGCTTTTTTTTGGGGGGGGGAGGGGTCCAGTCGTAAGGCCTGAACTCTGGGCCTGGGTGCTGTCCCTCAGCTCTTCAGCTCAAAGCTAGCGCTCTACCACTTGAGCCATAGCACTACTTCTGGCTTTTTTCTTTTTGCTTATGTGGTGCTGAGGAATTGAACCCAGGGCCTCAGGCATGCAAGGCAAGCGCTCTACCACTGAGCCACCTTCCCAGCCCTGAGAGCTGGATTTTCTGATGCTGAACTCTACTGTCAGTCTAACCAGAGTCTGAGAAACCAGGAAATCGCCTACAGCTCCACAATGGGCTTTTAAAGCTTCTGCTTGCATTGTCCCCATGGTGAGATGAAGGTAGGCCACACTACCAGGGCTTGATCATGGGGCAGATTTCCACAGAGGACTGAGCACACTGTGATCCAGACACTCAAAGGACCAACCAATGCACATCCTTTATCTGACCAACAGCCAAACATGCTTTACACACCTGTAACATATTTATTCAGAAAACACCAGAAATTCAGCACCTTGAGGGGCCTCCTCATCTATACAATGAGAAGCTTAAGATAACTGATGACTTCTCCACAGACCTTGACTTATACAGGCACCTACAAAACTAGTTATTGATTGTAAGGCCAGAAAGAAATAATCCATGTACTGGGCTATGCACCAGTGGTTAGCATGTGTGGCCCCAGTCCTTTCTCCCAGCAGTGGAAGGAGGCAGTATACTATCACAGCACTGAGGAGCAAATGGAGATATGGCACAGTCAAGTGCAGGTCCTAGAGCTCAATTAGCACTAGCCATAGCAGTCCTGGGACTCAAAGGGGAGCCAGCCTGAGTCCAGGCCCATGCTTATTCCCTGACACAATGCCTCCCTTTGTCCTCAATCAGAATGAAGAAATACTGTCTCCCCCAGGAATGCCATTTTAACAATTCCCTGCCAAGAGGGAGGTGTCTATTGCCATGTAGACTTCATATGAGGTGGAACAGAAATGGTTTACTATGCTCTACATTGCCTCATGATTTCCAAAAGACCATGAGAGGCCTGAGAGAAGAAAGTATAGTACCTTCTTTTCTGACATTCTTCAAGCCTAGCTTCCCAGAGACAAGGTCTTCCCTGAGTGACTCATATCAAATAAGCAGGACTTGGCATTCCCTAGGCAGTCAATAAGTATTTAATAAATGAATAAATGAATGGATTACTGTGAGCTTATTCAGGAACCATTTGGTATGAGTTAGTGAGAAACATACTGAGGGCAGCTCAAAGCACGAAACTCATGCACATACTCAGTTGGTTTTTATGTCTAGGCTCTCCAAACACAAGACAAAGGCCTAGGGCTGAGCAGAGCCTGCAAATTCTCCTCCAGATAGCTTCTACCTGAGCAAGAGAAGTATCTGAACACAGGCTTCCCAGTAAAATAGTTCACAACTCAGAACCTGAAATCAAGGTCTGATTTCTTTCACATTAAAGTAGTTGGCTGGCCCTGTCAGCCTCAGATTTTTGTGTAAAAATGAAAACAAGTTGGTATTCACTCTATAAGACCATTCTGAAGATTAAATAATATAATGCCATAAAGGACTTTTTGCCCAATGCAAAATTTTCAGTCCTCTGTCTGAGCTCCTTCTAGCAAAGTTACCTCAAAGAACTTAACCTCTCTCTGCTTCAGTTTCCTGGTGTGTAAAATTGGGTCAATTATGAAAATTAAATGGGTTAAGCAGGTAAATGACATAATAATGGCTGACACAAAGTAAGCTCTGGATAAAGGTGAGTTAATATTCTTTCTTTCAATGACAGATCCCACCCCATTTCTCACCCCCCAGCTAGAGAGGGGTGCAGGCCTCAAGGGAAGTTCCTCAGAGGCTCTTTCCTGCTTGGCTACATTCACTGGTACAAAGGGTATGCATGCACTCCAACCTGGAAAGTCTTAGAAAAGTTCTTCTGGGTCAGGCAGCGTGCTGTGTGGGGTCAGCTGCCTGCAGCTGTGGACCACAGGACAGAGGCCTTTGGTCCAGGAAGGCTGGAGATCACTCATTCTTTTCCTGGGATTGGGTTTTTCAGTGCTTCCTATGACTCTGAGCCTCCCCTGAAATTCACTTTTGCACAAACTCATACAAGTTTGGCTCTTGGCCCTTGAAACCCAGAATCCTGACTAACAACAGCACTGAACAGATGGCTGCCTTATCACTACCAAATCTGCTCAGGAAGAAAAACCAGCTGTCTACCTTTAGTAAGACCAAAGCCACCACGGGGGCAAAGCAAACAAGTGAAGGAGGTGTCTGCAAGTAGTCATGATAGGGAAACTACTGCAGTTTGGACCACCACCCGAGCAGAGGAAGTTGCTGGAACCCAGAATAAGCAGCTCAGTCCTGCCATCCCTGCTTGGGTCCCTATCTCAAACTAGGCCCCTTTGCCATGATCATTAAAAAAAGGGGAAAAGGAGAGAGAAGAAGTTGGAACTTTCATCAACCTCAAAGTAGTGCAGAAAAAATCCAATAAAAGAATGGACAAAAGAGGGAAAGAGGAAGGGGAAGACAGTTGCCTTACTAGAGCACTTAAATGTGCTGTACCCTGAGGGTGAGACTCTTGCATTCCTATGACCTTACTTACCCTTCAGCACACCCTGAAGAGTAGAGATAATCTGGCCCATTTTCCAGGTGAAGTATCTGAGGCTCAGAGAGATCAATAACTAACTCCCTCAGATCCCACCACTATCATTTCATGTCCCTTCTACCCATTGTACTCACCTCACTCTAATTCCTGAAGGTCCTTGCTGTCACTCCAAAAAGGATGATGTCTAGCTGTTCCTTGTTCCTTACCAACTATCAGAAAAAGGGTATCTTTCCAGAGAAAATTAGACAGGATAGGCAACATCCTGTGCATCTCTGAGCACAGTTCCCTCATCTTAAGAGCTCCAGTATGATTTTTATGAGACAAGTATTTATCAGTGGGTTGTAATCAGGATGTGACTGCCAGAATCCCGAGGGAGGTTTGTTTTGCTGTCTTTACTGTTACCTGTCCCAAAAGATTTTGACCTAACAGACAGAGACTATAACCTCACACTTCATACTGTGCTAACAAAATTATCTTTGCCTGCTACCTTCCTGGACAGCACCCTTCTGATAAACCCTCTTAATTTCCCTTAGGAAAGAAGCACTATCTTCAGATTTTGTGTGTGGGTAGGTGGGTGGGGTGGTGGTTGTGGTGGTGGTGGTGGTGTTTAGCGAAGTACTGGAATTTGAGGTACTCATGTTGGCTAGGCAGGTACTCTACCACTGAGCCATGCCTCCAGTCCCAGATTTTTTTTTATTGTTGTTACTGAGTCTTGAATTCAGAGTATTTCACTTGTTCTTCTGGCACTTTATCATGTGAACTACACCTCCAGCCTTTTTACTAGTTATTTTTGAGATGGAGTCTCATGGACTTTGCTGCTGGGGCTAGCTTTTAAATTGTGATCTTTAAGGTTTCAGCCTCTGGAGTAGCTAGGATTACAGGTGTGAGCCACAGGTGTGTGCCTGGGTCCAAATTTATTTTTAAATGGCTTAGGGAAACAAACAAATGACAAAAAAAACCCTTCACTGACCTGAGAAGAAAACTAAGAATCAAACTCTACCAACCTCCACCTCTCCAGTGCATCAGCCATGAACTGATCCAAGCACACATAGCCATGTGCCTCCCAGGTTCTAAGAAGGCTCACCACCAAAGGCTATGCAGACATAACCCAGACAACTAGTGAAGGACAGTTTTTTCTGACAAAGGTACCATCTGCAGGTAATGCACACAACCTGAGTAG